AGGCTTCCCGAGAGCATGAAGCAAACTCCTTCTCCCAACAAAAAAAACCTTTTATTAATTTACTGTGAATTCTGCTCATTCACATCCAGCAAAGTCTTTCAAGGGAGGATTTACAGTCACAGACCTTATCTGGCTTGGAGAGCTGACAGGCCGATATCTGCAAAACTTGACAAGGAGTTTCAGAGAGTCACGAACCAATTAAGTGAACTAATTTTCTCCTGTAAACTCCATCCCCTTTCTCTCCCCTTTTATTTCCTCTGGGAAGGGCCATTCATTGTCCACCTGTGACATTACTCCCAAGTCGACCTCTGTTCTTTAGCTGTTCCCTTCGTCTGGCAATTCTGCGCATACGCACACTGGTAACAGGCTCCAGCTGTTCATCTGCCTCACTGATGTCTGACTCTGAAGGCAGCTGATAACTGGCATGTGGCTCTGGCCCCCTCTCTGCCTGCTACACCCAGACTCCAGGACTGGCCCATATTCCTCACCAACCTCCTCACTGTTTGAATCTGCTGCCAACTCTGCTGGCTGCTGACTGGCCCCAAAAGAAATGTCTCACTTAACAACATAAATTTTGGGCCCAATTGTGATCCTAAGTCAAGGACTACCTGTATAAACTAGTTCAGTCCATGGAAACATGAGTGTTAATCAGTAATCACTCTTTATGATCCAAAGGCTGCAATATGCTTTTCTGAGTTCTTCTAAATTCCTGCTCGTGTCGTTAGTAGTAGTAAATAACCATCTTGTCTTCTCTAAGGCTCCTTTTTTCTGTCACATTAGGATGTTTTCCCAAGCTTTAAGATCTTCTCCAATAGCTCTTTCCTTTGTATTATGTGTCTGAAATATTTAAAATTTAGCATCATTATTAATGTTTCCAATAAGAAGATTGATTTTACTCCCCATGGCACTGAATTATTTGTTGTCTTTGCAACCCAAGGCATTCTTTACAATTTTCTCCAGGTACATATATCAAAGGCATTAACTTTTCTTCATTCCACATTTTTGGGGCCCAACTTTCTCAGCCATTTGTTAATACAGGGAAACCATTGCTTTTATAATATGAACATTTATTGTACTATCTTGTACTAACATTTCTTGTACTATCTCTTGTACTATATTTTATCTACACCTCTCATCCAAGTAGCAGATATCTCTTTATTCCATTCTTTATTATGATCACTATCACTGTGAATTTTTGAGACTATGAAAATAAAAGGGTTTTTTTACTATTACCTTGCCTTCTTCTATGCTCGGTGCATTGGCATTATCTGTTGATTTAATCTTAATTGTTCTGCGTGAGGTTTTGTATTGGTTTTATGCTTTTATTTTTCTACATTTTTTGCTATTTGTTTGGAACAGTCTACAAACTAGCTTCTGCCTTCTCTTCTTTTAAATTCAACAAGACATTTTTTTAAAATCCTCTGGTTATCACTGTGGTATCATCAACATAGCTGAGGTTTTTATGTTTCTCCCAGCTATATGGAATCTAATCTGTATTTCTTATAGTGAAATATTGTTCATTGTATATTTGACATATATTTAATTGCTCTGTATCCTATTAACATTATCACTTGTAATTGTTATATAAATTCTTCAACAAACAGACAAGGTGGCCTAGTACGTTCATATTTGAAAGGTATCCACTATTTTTTGTAGTCCACCCTATCAAAAGTATGGACTGCAAAATTTTGAGGCGTTTATATTTTTTCAGCTATTGGAATGTAAATGGGCCTCCTCCAGTTCCTTGAACTCCAGGGTATTTGTCTTACCTGATTATAAACTGCAAGTGATTTTCTGGGCCCATTTAACATCACTTTTCAAAATGTCTGGTAGTATAGTGACGAAATCTTTTTTATCAGTAATTTATTCTTCCATATATTTGTGCTGTTTCTTCATTGAATCTTTATTCCCCAGATCTTTGATTTCTTTATCTCTTATTATGCTTATTTTTGTATAAAAGCTTCACTTGCCTTCTCCAAATTTTCTTAAATAAATACCTTGTTCTCCCTTGTTCTCCCGTATTCTTAATATATTTGCATTGCTAATCTTATATGACTCCTTGTCTCTTCTTGCTTTTGTCTTGAATTCACTGTTTAGTTGGATCAATGTTCAGTTTTGACATAGCTGCTCTGGCCACATCCATTATGCCTTGGTTCATAGTCCTGGCAGAGAAATGGTATACCTATCTTTGTAACATTTCCCTGATTGCAAATGTTCCTTTGGTGAAATACTGGAGTGAGTTGTCTTTTTTTCTCTGAGGGATCATACAGTATTTAGTCTGTTCTTTTGTCTATGACTTGTCCATCATAGATGAATCTTCTGCAAGTGTATAGTCCCAACTGTGTAACTCATAGTATCACTGTGACATGCAAATACTGTCACTGCTGCAAAGTAGTAATCCATTAAGGGGCCCTTCTAAAGCCCTATGTCCATGATGGGGAACCTATGGCAGGTGTGCTGGAAGTGGCACACAGAACCATCTATCTGGGCATGGCAGGTGTTGCTTGTTGCTCTTCCAGGTTCCGGTGTGCATGCCAGCTGGTTTTCGCACACACGGAAGCACTGGAAAGCAGAAGAGCAGCTCCCTGGGTGCATGCACGCACCGGGAAGCTAAGCTTCCGGTTTCCGGCACGCACATGCGAGCTGGCCAGCTGGTCTTCACATGCACATGTACGCCAGAAACCAGGAGACCAGGTGACCGGCACGCATGCATGCATGCATGCATGGACTGGAAACTGGAAGCTCAGCTTCCATGTGCCAGGGAACTGATCTTTTGGTCTCCGGGGCTCCCCCGCATGTGCACGCGCATTCCTATTTTGGCACTTGGTGTCAAAAAGGTTCACCAACACTGCCCTATGTGCATATGCAAAAATATTTCATTTTTTAGTATATTTGCATAACATTTCATCAGAATTAGAAATACATCTCTTTTATAATCCCAGAGTTACCTATTTTCAAATTATGAAATCCATACCAATGTCATGTACATTTGCCTGGTTAGTATGATGTTCAGATAATAAACTTCAGCAATCAAATGGAATGTTCAACTTTCTTGTTTGTCTTTGGAAACTCTGTAAACTCAATAAAGCAGATCGACTGGGTCTTCATTGAGGTTTTTTTTAACATACTCAGAAATGCCATAGCTTTTAAAAATAATGATAATAATATTACAGTGAGCACTAAGTGAACTCTTAGTGACTATTAGATAATTAGTTTTAAAAATTAAAAGATCCTATGGGACACATCTAGCAACAGTTGACAGTAGAAGCACAATATACGAAAGGCTTTCATAACGCAGACCCAAAACAATAGGAAAGAATTTATTTAAAATAATATAGTATAGGTACAAGTATCAAATATAGTAGGTCATACATTTGACTTTATTAGGCATACTTCTGAATTATTCAGTAATTGAGTTGTCAAAACAGGACTTTGTACATTGTTAGATATTCTGGTGTGGTAAAATAAAGGATTGCGATATCCTTAGAAAATACTACATAAAACTGCTAGTAGTTTATATTCTAAAGCCAGATCTCTAGAAAATTCATATCAATTTATTTTCATGAGTGGAACTGAAAATATTAAAAATTGATCTCTTTCTTTTTCTTTTGCCTTTAATTGCTAATTGAAGATTAAAGTATCTGTGGCTTCAGGAGGAAACTGTATTCGAACATACAGACCAGAAATTAAAAAAGGATTGTACAACACTGTTATTCTCAACGTAAAGACAACTGTTCCTGATAATCTACTTTTTTATCTTGGAAGTAATAGATATGTAAGTCCACATTAGTGTTTTTTTTAATGTTCCCATATGATTGTATATTGATATTAATTCTGGCAATATAGCTGGAAAACCATCTAAATATTCATAGAGCTACCTATCATTACTGTTGCCATTTCCCATAAGTCACTTCATCCCATATCATCATGTCTACATTTTCCAAAAGAATAGCAAAAGCAAGTATTGTTATTACCAAAACCTCTTGGCTCAAATTAGTACACTGTCACTGCATGTGTAGGAAACTGGTCAGTAATGTTCCTATTGCTGAACCCTTAACTAGGCTCAGTTAATCTCATTTGGGGGTGCCTTCCTTGGAGTGAGTCACCAATGATAAAATTGATATGGATAGAACTCGGGCCATTTTTGTTTTTCTACAACAGTGATAAATAATATTTTTTAAATGCTGATATTTCTAGCATCAGCTATGCAATACAATACAATACAATAGCAGAGTTGGAAGGGACCTTGGAGATCTTCTAGTCCAACCCCCTGCCTAGGCAGGAAACCCTATACCATTTCAGACAAATTGCCAATCAACATCTTCTTAAAGATTTCCAGTGTTGGGGCATTCACAACTTCTGGAGGCAAGCTGTTCCACTGATTAATTGTTCTAACTGTCAGGAAATTTCTCATCAGTTCTGAGTTGCTTCTCTCCTTGATTAGTTTCCACCCATAATATGCAATAATGAAAATAATTTGAAAGAAGAAGCTAGAGTACGAGAAGAGAATCATCTGACACTTGTTAGGAGGACCTATAAGCCCCATCCAAATGGAGAGATACTCCAAAGGAACTAAACACAGAGGGAAGACAAATAAAGGTCAAAAGAACTTCCAGTAAAGAATGTAATTTGTAAAGTTTTAAAGAAATAATACAACTGATGGATTAATTAACTTTATAAAAACTGAGTCAACACAATTTAAACAGTTCTCTTTTGTTTCTAAAGCCCATGAGAATCAAGCCCCCCCCCCGCAAAACTGATTCAAAAAATGTTTCAGCCAAAAACCTCCACATTTGTATTATATACTAGTGTAAAATCAGTAAAATAAATTAAAAATAAAATGTGTGTGAGGTATCCCTGGGTGGCAGATATGATTACACAAAAGTATGAAGTTATGATAAAGGGAACTGGAGGTTATTGAATCTCTTGTTTCTATAATGTTTCTTCTTTGCTTTGGCTATATTTTTAAAAAAAAATAGATTTAAATATTTTTGAATATTTAAATTATACAGGATATTATGGATTATGCAAGACAGTAATTGACAGCCTTTACTAGTGGGAAAGATAATGTTTCAATTCATAAATATTACATATAGAACATGATAAAGATTTTCAGGAAAAAAATTACATTAAAAATGATTATCCCTTCGTGGTAGTATATAGCCATTCATTGCAGTTAATTGCTTCATTTTCACTATTTTGCTAAATAACACTTCGTATTATTTTACCAGATTGTCTCAGAGGTAGTAAACACTATTAGTATGCTATGTTCATTTTGTTTAAAATATCCTTTCCTCATTTTAGACTGACTTCTTGGCCATAGAAATGCGTAAAGGAAAAGTGGATTTCTTATGGGACGTGGGATCTGGGGTTGGGCGTGCAGACTATCCGGATCTCACAATTGATGACGGAGTTTGGTACCGAATTGAAGCATCAAGGCAAGTTCCTAAGATCATCCATAATAATTGTATCGCTCTCAAATGGTGATTCCATGCTCCAGTTTCCAAAAGAACCTAGTAGAAAGATAACATTTTCAAAATGGCATCACACTCATGCAAATTCTTTTGAAAGTAGTTCTTCTGGGATCCATCCTATTGTATTTTTAGAATCTAATGCAACATAATGCATGATCAAATATAACATTTGAAAATAAAGCAATTTCAAGGATCCTTTTCAGAGTGCAGTAAATAGTTATGACCATTTGGGAAGGAAAAGAAGACTCCATGTCTCTGTGCTACCTGCTGCCTACCTTTCTCCCTTTTGTTTTCAGGGATCCTGCCAAAATATAGCCTTACTAAGTGGAGAAGCTTCTGCCAGTGCTTTTGAAATATTGAGAATGTTGTATTAGCTTTTGGTTTATTTATTTTTGTATGCACTGTTTTTGATTTTTTTAAAAAAAATATTGTATGACTGGAAAAGCAAAATATAAACCTAATAAATACAAGAAATATTTTAAAATCCCTACTGACCTTTTCAACATCAGAATATGTATACCTTTCTTTAGCGGCATATTATTGTCCAAATGAATAAAGCAATAACCCGTCTTGCTCATCTATTATTTTGCCAATGTGGCTGTAACAAAAGTACTTTGTGACTAAAACGAATTGGGGTGATGTGGTTCTCCTACTCATTAGGAAATGGGCCTAGGAATAGCAACATCTGAGTAACAGAGGTTGTGGGAGCAATCCCTAAACTGAAAACTTCTGAAGGATCTGTCTTCAGATCATTTCAAGTTTCCCCATCTACCATTCTTATCAGTTGTTGTTGCTGCTTTGTGTGTGCATGTGTATACAGTGCTCATGAGAAGTGGGGCATAGAGAAAATCATGGCAGCCAGGTCTCTGAATACCTGCAATTTTGGAATAGTGGTCTTAGGCAAGAGACTAAGGCAGGAGTCTCAGGCAAGACTCACAGCTTTTTCCAATGGATCAACATTACTAACTTTTATAGGCGCCTTGAGACCATATCAGAAAAAAATCCTGCTTCCAAATCATTCTTTGAGATTAGGATTTGAATCCTAATACTTTTGATTGTAGTTTGAGCCCTTTCAAATATGTGTTTTGATCTGCAAGCTATAGAAGTGCCATTCATGATCTGGCTTACTATACTGCCATAATAAATCCATTGAATTTATTCAGAATGCAAAACAGAGGTGACCAGTTCGGCTGAACGGGTAGTAACTTGACGGCCTGTGTTGCTGGAACTGGCAGCAACCCAGGCCTGCCATGCCTTTGAACCAGTTTTCTTGGTGGTGCCATAGGCACTGCCATCTTATTTTTGCCTTCTGTGCATGCGCAGAGCAATTTTTGTTGCACTGTGCATGCGTGCACAGAGTGAACAAGCAGCAGTGGCAGCTGGAACCTGGTGCAAAAGCATGCTTGTCATGAAAAGAACAGGCAAAAGAATAAACAAATGAAGAGTTGAGCCTTGGGAGTCTGGAGTGCTTCAGATTCAAAAGTGGGTGTGGGGGAAGGGGAATCGAGGAAGTGCAAAGAAAGAAAAAAGATGAATATGCCTGTTCAGTAAAATATAAAATGTTTTTGATGCATAAACTCACTGGAGTTTATAGAATAAATTGATATTTGTTATTTTCCAGTATCTTTTATTTTCTGAGGTGGCATCTGCTCCAAATAAAGGAATTGTGACCTTTATCTTTTAAAAATAAATGAGCTGCATTTTAGATTTAGAGATGAAAATCCCTGCAAATTATAAAAGGTAATAGAAATAACTAAGAAATTGTCCTCTCCATTTGTGTGGCATGGACTTTCAGGCAAAAAGTGTGGTGGATTGAAATTGTAGTCCACAGAATTCTGTTCCATAGTGGAATTTTTCTTCTCAGATTAAAATAATAAATCCATAACTTTTTGCCACTGGGATTACATGTTACCAGGCACCTGTGTTTTAACCTAGTCAGTAGGAATCCACTCCTGATGGCTTACTCTTTACATGAAGTCTTGTCCTAACCATCAGGCACGGTAGTATATCCTAACAATTTAAAGCCTGATTACAGAAATTCACAAGATGTCATCTCTATAAAGCCCTAGTAAGACCACACCTACAGTACTGCATCCAGTTTTAGTCACCACGTTATAAAAAACATGTTGAGATTCTAGAAAAAGTGCAGAGAAAAGGAACCAGGATGATTAGGGGACTGGAGACTAAAACATATGAAGAATGGCAACAGGAACTGGGCATGGCTAGTCTAGTAAAGAGAAGGACCAGGGGAGATATTTGAAAGGCTGCCACAGAGAGGAAAGAGTCAAGCTATTTTCCAAAGCAACTAAAGGCCAGACAAGGAATAATGGATGGGAACTGACCAAGGAGAGATTCAACCTAGAAACAAGGAGGAACTTTCTGACAGTGAGAACAATCAACCAATGGAACAGCTTGCATTCAGAAGTTGTGGGAACTTCATCACTTGAGACTTTTAAGAAAAGATTGGACTTTCATTTGTCAGAAATGGTGTAGGCTCTCCTGCTTGAGCAGGGTTGGACTAGATGACCTACAAGATCCCTTCCAACTCTGTTAAACTGTTAAAATCTTGTATATGTAAAATATCTTCAAAGGTTGTAGAGAATGCTTGTATTCACATGAAGATGAATGTTAGTTGATGAATAGCAAATCTGACTCCCATGTTTTTTCTCTTATAGGACTGGAAGAAATGGCACAATTTCAGTACAGGCACTAGATGGTCCCAAGGCCACCATCATTCCAAGCATTTTCAGTGCAATTTCTCCACCTGGTTACACAATTTTAGATGTGGATGCAAATGCCATGCTATTTGTTGGAGGTTTAACTGAGAAAATAAAGGTAACGAGTGACTCTCTGCTTAACTGGTCAATGTAACTATATATGCTTTTCTTTGTTTTATTTGAAGCATTTGCTTGAGAGGGAGCAGTCTTAAAGCACTGTCTTCTGTTTCAGAGAGTTGTGCAGGAAGTGACTTCTAGGCTGAAGTCAAATTAATTGCCAATAAAATAAATGTCACAATAATGACAGTACTTAGGTCTGCATTACCTACTCTTATTTTCATATGGTACCCAAGTAGTGTCAGCAACTCTTATCCTTTTAAAATGTTCTGAGTTTTTCACAAAATTGTGCCTACTTATGATGCAATAAAAGACACAGATTCATTAATGTGCCATCAGTAAATATAACAATCACTTGTATTACACAAAGCACATTTCCCACTTTAAATAAAATTATTTATTTACAGACTTTTATTGCAGCTGAAAAGATCTACAGAATGGTTCCAATATTGATTGGCATTTGACACATTTTACAAAGCTATATAATCATGAAAGGATCAAATAACACTGTATTAATACTAGTCCATAGAATATCAGAGCCCAAAGCATCTTTGCTGTCAGATGGAGTTGCACTGCACAATCTGGGATTTCTTCTAAATTCTTGACTTCTGCTGTGGTGATGCAGTGTTTAGAATGCAGTATTTGCCTCAGCAGCTCAAGGTTGACTCAGCCTTCCATCCTTCTGAGATCAATAAAATTAGGATCCAGATTATTGGAGTTATTCAAGTGAAATATATGTGCCAATGTGTATTCCTATGAGCCTCATTGGCAATTTTTCTCAGACTTGATGTCAGGTCACCAGCAAGATCAGAAGCAGCACAAATGAAGATAGAAAAGAAGGACCGGGAGGGAGGGAGAAAGCTGCTGCAGATGTCTATAAATATGAAGGGCCACTCACCTTCAATATCCTCTTGGGTGCTCAATGTTTGAAGTTGCTGATTACATCATGTCAAAAAATGAAGGGCCCCAAATGATCATAAGAACTTGCATGACAGGATGGGCAACATCTGTCCCATTAGGTAGACCAGACCAGAAAATCAACGCCACCTTAAGAAATCTACACTTTTTTGAGATAGGCTATGATAACAGGACAAGGCAGAAAGTGAAGAGGAATTAAAGAGCCTCTTGATGCGGGTGAAGGAGAGTGCAAAAGTTGGCTTGAAACTCAACATTAAGAAAACTAAGATCATGGCATCTGGTTCTCTCAATTCCTGGAAAACAGATGGGAAGAAATGGAAGTAGTGACAGATTTTATTTTCCTGGGTTCCAAGATCATCGCAGATGGGGACTGCAGCCAAGAAATTAAAATTCACTTGCTCCTGGGGAGGAAAGCTATGGCAAATCTGAACAGCATACTAAAAAGTAGAGACATCACCCTGACAAGAACAGTGCATATAGTCAAGACTATGATTTTCCTAGTTGCACTGTATGGCTGTGAAAGTTGGACCATAAGAAAGGCTGATCGCCAAAGAATTGAGGCCTTTGAACTATGGTGCTGGAGAAGACTCCTGCGAGTCCCTTGGACTGCAAGACGATCAAACCGGTCAGTCCTAAAGGAGATCAACCCTGACTGCTTTTTAGAAGGCCAGATTCTGAAGATGAAATTCAAATACTTTAGCCACCTAATGAGAAGGAAGGACTCACTGGAAAAGAGCCTAATGCTGGGAAAGATTGAAGGCAAAAGAAGAATGGGACAATAGAGAATGAGGTAGCTGGATGGAGTCACTGAAGCAGTAGGTGTGAACTTAAATGGACTCCAGAGAATGGTAGAGGACAGGAAGGCCTGGAGGAATACTGTGGGGTCGCAATGGGTTGGACACAACTTTGCAACTAACAAGAAATAATAACAGAGACTTGAAAGTCTTCAATATATTGTGCATCCCCTCCTCCTTACACTCTAGTAAATCAGGGAAGCATTTGCCTGTATTGTTTCTGAATATTATTCCCCCCCCCCTCCGGACTTTCCAAGCATTCTTCAGCCCTCTGCCTAGGCAACAGATCTTATATTTTTCTTTCCAGGCCATCTCCCTTTTTCTCTACAGACTAAACTTTGGGTCTTCTCAGTCTGTTACAGTGCCTTAACCTCCACATTTTGAAATCCATATAGCAATATTTTCACTGAACAAGAACCATGTTTGAAGAGTATCAGCATAAAGTTTCTTTCTTTCTTTCCTTCCTTCCTCCCTCCCCATAAAAACGAGAAGTGGTAAAAAACAGATATTTGATTGTTGAATCCTATCCTACTGTCCAAATAGGATAGGGTTACACATACTGACCTCATATCTGCAATAGATTCTGCAGTAAAATTCCTGATAATTACTTAATTTTGCATGGTCCTACAGATACATCCATAAGATAAAATGAGCCTTTAAAACCTGCTCCAATCTTCCAAACAGCTCTAATCAATCAGAATTTTAAAATAAACTGTAATTTAATCTGAAACCAGCTAGACAGATTCTGGGCATAAAACACTCTTTAGCATATAAATTAAAACAATTACAGATTTTATTTAACCCTAAAACAAGTTAAAGTTTTGCAAAGACCTCGCGTTCCCATCTTCTATTTAAATACTGTTTCCATAATATATACATTCATTAAGTTCATTTATAATTACATGTACAATTTTTTTATAAATCTTGTACTGGGATGGATAGATGGATGGATTGACAAATCCAGTTTGGATGTAAAACTCTTCTTTAAATCTAATTTGGCTTCACTCCTCTTAAATCATTTTTTTATTATTATTGGCATCTGCTTCAACCTCAAGTAATTTTCTACAGTATATTCTTTGTTAACTCTTTCTTCTCATCTGATACTTTTCCAGTCATTTAAATCCTAGTGTTTTCTAGCCAACCTTAGTGCTATAAATAGATACATAATCCACAGATAATTTCATTCATGTATTTCAATATTATATATGCATACACTTTGAATAAGTGTTATCATTTGAGTTAAAATGATGCATAAATTTGTAGGAAAATATCTTCAGAAATCATACTGTGGTTTTGGGATTCTTAATTACATATTTAATTCATTTATTATTCAATTTAGAAATCCCTCAACCCCAAAATGCTCTGGGTAGTTCCCACCATAAAAACAAAATAACAGATATACAATCAAAGTAGAAGATAAAATAGTAAACAAGGTGGGGAATTAATTAGCAATAACAACTAGTAAATATACACTTGACTAGAATTCCAACCACCCTAGTCCATTAATTTATGTATATAATGCCTTGAAGAAGAATGCCTATTATGGCCATCACAGTTCAGTTTCATTATGTGCAGGTGATAAGGGACCTTTCAAGGTAGTTGCTAGGAGCCAATGGTAACTCAAAAGAAATCAAACAAAAACAAAAATAAAATCAACAACATCTGCCTATCTTAGGACTTTGGACTCACTATGTGGATAGAAATGTCAAATACAGTCTAAACATCTGTCTAATGTGTGACCAACTATACCCTTTTCTCTTTAAGAACCCAACATAGTAGATTGGTTTAACATTCAAAAATACTTCCTTTTCTGAACTTGCTTCTCTCATACAGTTTTCTTTTTAAGAGTTCTTTTCAGTGTGAATTGATTAGATTGTAACGCCAAGTTTGCCATATTCACAGTGAATTTGGATGTTTTTCAGATTTCATGCCATGCCTGAAAGTCAAGTTTCTATTCTCCAGATGTTCATACATTAATATTTTTAATATTCATAATTCCTCATGAAAAGCACCAGGTGCTTATATGTCTCAAATTGCTAAATATCTGGAAGTAAAATAATATTTATGAAATGAGACATAAAAGATAATTAGGTACTTTTGAAAAGGACAACTTCCTGTGAGAACAATTCTCTTTCAGAAATTCAGCAATTACAACAAAGTGTTTTTCAAACTGTTGTGTTTGTGTTCTTATATTGCTAACTTGTGATAATTATGATTCTACAAAACCAAAATGAAAAGACTATCTAAAAAAGAAAACCTAAGACTCATCCTACTATCCAGGGGTGGGTTCCGGATTCTTTTACTGCTAGTTCACTCAGGGACGCATTTCGGATATGTGCACACTTGATGCACGCTATGCGCGCATGCACAGTAGTAGAAAATTGCCTATGGCACCGCCGATAGAACCAGTTCGGGGGCGTGGGCAGCTGAATTACTACCTACTCAGCCGAACCGATAGGAACCCACCTCTGCTACTATCCCTAAAGCACCCTCTTGATGACTGATTTTAAGGTAGTCGTTCTCATTTTTGAAACAAAAATTCCTTTAGTTATTTGATGAACTAAAAAAGAAGATGCAAAATTTAAAAAATGTTACATTAGAACTTCTTATACATGTATATATTTTTACCCAAGAGTTTCAGTGAAACTCTTATATTTCTTTATAATTACCGTTTATCTATATCAGTAGTCATCTATATCAGTAAGCAATTTGTTCATAAAAGTTCTGGGTGAATGGATGGATCAAGAAATTTATACAGGAAGCCCTCGAGTTACAACAGTTCTGTAAGCTTTCTATATCTGTAAGCTTTCTTCCAATCCACACCATGAGAGATGAATCTGGTATTTAAGGTCCTCAGGAAGCAGGTTGGAAGTCACCTGGATCTCAGGGGTAACCTCATTCCAGAAGGCAGGTGATGTGACACAGAAGGCATGTTTCTCTATCTATGGCAATCATTGTCTTAATAGCTTCCACTCTGTTGAAAATTAGGCAGTATATGGGGAAAAAATCTCAAAAGGCAGGTTATGGACAAATACCGGCTTTTGTTACAAATTGTAATGGAGTCTATTAATAAAGAATTCAATACTTAGCCAGCATACTTTCTATTTCCAGAAATCTGACGCTGTGAGAGTCACTACATTCACAGGATGCATGGGAGAAACCTATTTAGACAGCAAACCAATAGGACTGTGGAATTTCAGAGACATTGAAGGAGAGTGTAAAGGCTGTGCTGTCAGGTAATTCCCGTCCCCCCTAATATTGTTTATTGTAATTATTTAAAAAAACATTTTCATATTTTTAAAGCCTAAATGATCCACTTAAGTTATGATTATTTCTAATTTTTGTCAAACATTACAGTATAATTTTGACCATTATCATCATGAAAATGAATAACTAGTTCATTAATCACTTTTCTGGATATATCAAATATAAGAGGGCAATGTGACTGCAAGAATATAAAGTCCTTCCTTCCTTCCTTCCTTCCTTCCTTCCTTCCTTCCTTCCTTCCTTCCTTCCTTC